TGGTTTTAAATTGGATCTTTAGGCTCTTTGTTACCAGCAATCTGTTACAAAGACACAATTTGTGTCCATTACTTGAGCTGGCTCTATAGAAAATATAAAAAATTACACAGTTTGACAGAGAAGAAATAGTATTTTAGTAACGACACAGTTATTTTCAAAAGTCAGTTGGCTGAAAACATGGCATACAGCAACAAATCGATAGGAAGAGGATGGATCTCAAAGGTCCTGGTTCAGGTCTCTCTGGATTCTGTCCTATTTTTTAAAGACATGACTTTATGGTTCATCTGCAGTACGTGTTTTTTTTTCCTGACATTTCTCCTTTTATCCTCCACCTGCAGAATATTCCATCATAGTCAGGTACACAAAAACATATTAAACTAAATTACAAGATATTAAAATAACTGTTTGAAGGGAGAGGTGGTGCAGAGGTTAGAGAAGGTGGGGCTGTGGTCGGAAGATCGCCAACTCTCTGTACCGAGAGCATCAAAATGTGGGTGAGATAGGTGAAGCACCCACACCTGCCTCCATCCTTATTTGCCCCACTTTAGGCCCTTAGGCAAGGCTCTTAACCCCCATCATCTTCTCCTCTGGGTGCCCTAAATGGCAGCTCTCTGCTCCACACAGAGGGCTGTGGTAGCTCGGTGGTCTGTGGTTGCATCAGGAAGGGGCATCCGGTGTAAAAATAATTACCAAGTCTTGGTGCGACTTAGTTCACTGTGGTGACCCCTAAAGAAAGGAGCAGCCGAAAGAAGAAGAAGAAAATTTTTTAAGCAAAATTTGAATAATTATTGATTAAGACCATTTTAAACAAATACAGGAAATTGTAGTTCCTTGAAAATGAAGTGCAAAAAAAAATCAAGAGGGGCTTAACTCTTTTCCACGGTATATTTATGTATCCTAATAGCATTGGTAATTCCATTAGGTTCTCTGCTATAAAAAAAATTGCATCAGGAAGAGACTGGGTCAAGAAGCAGGCCACACAATTTCATTAGACACCAGAAAACAGCAATCAGTGGCCTCATGTGTCAGGAGACAACTCCCCGTGCGCATCGGTATCAGGATGCTAGCATTCATGTGAGCTGCTGTGTATTTCAGCAGGTACTAAATCCCTCGAGAGCATTCTGGCCAGGCTGAGTTAGATCCCCTCATATAGGGAACAAAATGCTTTGATGCGATGCCACTAACCAATCTAACGCAGAAATTGAATGCTTACAGGGGGCTCCACAACAGAAAACAATGTGCAGCTTCTTCATCTCAATTAAAGTGGCAGTGGAGGCTGATAAAGTTCCGCGTTGATGCCGTCAGGTGGGAGTCTGAGCACAGACGAGGGAAAGATGGCTTTGTTCGCTGCTTCCACTTTCACTGCATACCAGCAGCGTTTCAACAACATTAGGAGGAAAATAAATCTGTATAATTGCTACCAAATGGAAGAAAGATAAAAATGTCATACTGTGTCCGTCTGCTGGGTGATTTTATTGTTCTAAAGTTTGTTACGTATACCCAGTGAGACAGTGTCCCCAGGCTTTATATTCAATTATTTCATTTTCTTTTCTCCATGTGTGAAAATTGAGACATCCGCACACACAAAAAAAAACAGTTGTTTAGAAGTACCACCCCCACCTCACTTAGTTCTGATATTGCTTGTGAACGTTTCCCCAAGTTGTCAAGTTTATTGGTACATTTCCCCTCCGTTGTTCTGGTCAATAACAAAAAATAGTCATAACTAACATATTTGAACTCTGACAAGCCAACGAGAAGAAGAAAGATAAAAAAAAAAAAACAAGTTCTTAAATTAAAGTCTGCATCCCAAGCCTTGAGGGTCTGGCACATTTTCAGACATTTATAACTAAAAGGGTGCTTTAGAGTGGAGCCGCGGAGCTAAAGCCACAGCTTCCCTGAAGCTATTGTACATGGGAGCTCTAAGACGGCCTGAAAGGCTGCGATACGACGAAACGACATTCTGCACAGGACTCACATTTACTGCAGCACAATGTGACAAACCACACTGACAACTTATGAAACATTCATCAAAACTGCTTAAATATTAATTAACGACCACATTTGTTAGAGCCACTTAAAGAAGCACGGTCAGGCCCCAAGGGACCATCGACCCTAACCCACTGAACTGATTCTACTGGATTGTGTTTGTTGAGACTGACACAGAAAAAGAGGCTGCCCGAGTGTGAAGAGACATCTTATCGCTGAGCAGGAGGAAAGCCCTTCCAGCTTAGAAATAGACACTTGAGGTACAGCTCAGTGACCTGCGAGCAAAACCAATCAGAGCCACAGACGGGGAACAAGATATGCACTATCACAGTGATGCGCTGTTGTTTTGATAAGCGCCTGTCTGTTTCGGACCCTCTGGTTTGTCAGGGGGCCTCGCTGCAATATCAGCATGAGGGTTATGAGAATGCCTGGAGGGCGCCGCGACACAGTTCAATTCTGTGTGCTGCAATCTCAGAGCTTTGAGGCTTACTAAATCAATTACACAGGGTTGTGGAGCCTGTGCCTCACTCCCACATAATACCCATAATACCCATTGTTTCTGTGTGCCTCTACTGGAAAGACTAAATACAGAGTTCCTGATAAGCTGATGGAGTAGCGTGCATGGCTGTGCACTTCATGGGTTCAGCTTCTCAGCTGTCTGCTCCAATCTGAATGCAGAGAGGACAGACTGTAGCATTCTGTACGAGTCAAGAAGAAGAGAAGAAACAACTTTGAGTCTTTGTCTTTCTCAGACCCAGAGAAGATAGGAATAACTTTTTGGTTCTTTATCAAACTGTGCCCTGGAGCAATGTTTTGTTTGTATAAAATTGATGATTGACAGAGCAGAGCTTCAGGGCATCAACACAGATCCTGGCTTAAGGTTTGAAGGGGAAAGAAAAACCGTGTGCCAAAAGAGAGAAACAACACAACTGCAGCTGTTTCCCAGAAGAAATGGTCCCCAAATTGGCAAAAGCTCACACATGCACACACAGCCTGAGCTTAATGTGTCTGCCTTACATATGAGATTTTCACACACTCACGTCTCTCAAAAGATTACACAGGACAGCATGTAGGGTTTACATTTTCTGTTGCTCACCCTCCCCACAGAGAAGCATCGAACCTGTCCACTCTGTGAAGGTTAACTGCCTCGTTCTGAAATGTGACATGAGTAGAATAAATGTCTAAAATGGGTTATAAAGGCAACTTTAGCACAGCAAACACTGCTGGTTTTGTGAAAAATCTCTCAAATCTTAGAACTTTTCACACTCAAGTTGGACATTGAATTGACTTCCATTTATTTCTGTAGCCTAACCCAAACTATAACCCTAATCCTAACCATTGCCACTACTTGTCTAGCCATGACCGTACCCTAAACTCAATCCATACCTTAACTCCAAACACAAAACTGATGTTTCACTGTATACGGACCAGGCTGTGGTTCCCATAAGGACTACTGGTCTTGACACTAAAAACTGTTGGATCAAAAACAACCCAATTTTTAACTCAAAGCTGGGTCAAGTTTGGAACAAGTCAAGCCTGGGTAGTTTTTAACTCATCAGGGTTATTGGTTTGACCAATCATACAGGGGAACAATTATTATTTTTATTAGAGCTACCACAAAGTTTAGTTAAACGGAACAGCCTGAAAGCTTCCATAGTGGATAATGGCAACTTCTGTCATAGTGCTAACCAGTCCTGACTAATTTTATTTTAAGAACCCAAAGTCACTGCCTGCAAACTAAACTTATTAACAACAGTCATGTTAAAGATCTTCTTACCCTTTTTAACTTATTAGTCTCACTTATTACATCTTGAAGCAAAGGTCCGCTCAGGTCCAATTTGTCCAACTTCAGGCTTAAATAGGTGTATTTGAATAATGACACAGCTCATCTTCAACCAAGCCACTGTAAAACTTTTAGACCCAATATTATGTGAAATACACACAACCTGTCCCAAATGAGTTATTAAAGCAACCCAGCAGCTTTTGGTATAAATTATTATACCAGAAAAAATATATAATACAAACACAACAACCTTTTCATGTTTATCTTATAAATTAATCACAAACACACACACACACTCAAAGCAGTGGCTTTCCTGACACCTGATAAAACAGCTTCTGTGGTTCATCTATCCATTGTGGCTTTTCTTGACTAAAACGTGCACGGTGAATGAATGAATGAATGAATGAATGAATGAATGAATGAATGAATGAATGAATGAATGAATGAATGAATGAATGAATGAATGAAT